TTTGGCTTTTTGAGTTATTGGGTATGCCCTTCAATCTGGCCAAGTTTCACTGAAATCGGTGAGATGGCATCTATCACCTCTGCCTGGTCCTCTGGTGGACATGCTCTTAAGTTGAATTTCAACTGCCTTCCTTCAGAAAAACTTAATGAAACCCCTAAGTCGATGAGTCACTGAAGTTCAGTGGATATTAACAAGACAAGAAAAATTACCCTCAGGATATAACCAAGATCAAGGGTGCCTGAAACCATCAGGAGGGTAACTGTATGTAATATATAAGCACACGACGAATCCCAGAGTAAGGGCCAGTATATTTCAATGTGCATAAAGAAGGATTTCTTCTCATTCACAACGCCCATCTGAAGTCTGTTTTGAGCCAAAACTTCACTCAAACGTTTCACACTACGATGCTTTGAACGTTCAAGTTTTGATACACAATAAAAATACTAAGAAAAATTATAAAAAGCATATTGTGAACGAACAAACATTATAAAGTAAGTGAGCTACTACGCGCTCTCATTGGTCGATAGGTGTGTTTAGATGAGAGTATGTAAGCACAGTTGTGACGTTTTAGATTCGCGCGTATTTTTGAGAACTATTTTATGAAAGCACTAGAGGACTTTTTCCGTGTTAACATAGCCTCATCTAAGCACTCGGGGGTTGGGAGAATTCTCGAAAGTTATGCAAACCCGAGAGTACGTCTCGGGTTTACATAACTGTCTCGAATTCTCCCACCCCCCTGGTGTTTAGATGAGGCTATGTTAACACGGAGAAAGTAGTCTACTGCTTAAATACTCCTAAACCTAGGTGCATTATTGCCTTATTAGAGCAGTTTTCACTCGAGTGTCGAAAAGTAATTGGTTTTGCATTACTACACTACAGAATCGCCCCAGAAAACACGCGCCACATTTTCATCCAATCAGAAGCAAAACCAAAACCAATCGCAACTCACTCGCACACGTTTTCCCGCGCTTTGCGTCAGCTACACATATTTACTACAAGTTTTGATTGGTTTATTAATCTAAATCAAGTATCAGCATTGTTCAGGTTTCTAATAACAACAACAAATCAAATGCTTCCTTGGAAGAATAGGTCTTGAACTTAGTTTTAAATAAGGTTACGGCTCGTTGGGCAACATTTAACCAATAACGGGCAGGTTAGATTTAACTTGACGCCAGTTATACAACAAGAAGTAATAGATTCGCTCACTTGCTACATCTCCTTGGTATGAGTAACTTCGCATAAATTGTGACAACACTCTGAATTTAGGCTCTCCAATACCATGTATCCTGAAAGAGAAAAATTCCATCGCTGTCAGTCAACATGTCAAGATAAGAACTCTTCCAACTAATTTCTCGATTTCAGTCAAAGTCAAAACAATATCTGCTAAAGCGACAGTTCAAATCATGAACAAGCTAAGCACCGTCATGAACACTTTTCACAGCACACAGGGTTTACCAAAGGCAGAGAAAAATTAGCTAATATTAGGCCGTGTCACCACGTAATGCAGTTCCAGTCAAAGACCCACATTTCACCCTTGCTCAACATAGAGTCTCCAGTAGCTCAGTGGTTTGATCGTCTGGCTAGATCACGGACAGTCGCGGTTTCAAATCCCATCTGGAACTCGCGTTTGTTTCCGAGTTGATGCTATTTCTACACTTAATATTCCTTACATTGCTCACTTTGGAAGGTAAGTATAGAATGCAAAATTATGCACGTCGATGAAAGAACACTTCACTTTTTAGGCCAAATCACTAAATGTGGAGGTTCTCTTTGTAGTCAAATTGTAGATTTTTCGAATTAAGAATTGTCGAGCGTGACAGTCACATACTTCGATGTTCTTTGTATTACTGACCACTGTTTTCCTCGAAGACGGTTTAATCATGTAGACTCCTCTTGGAAGGTTTGTAGAAGCACTCTTCTGGACGCTCGTGCCATGTTGATTAATTCACCTTCACAACAAGTGATTTA